ACTGTAGGACACTGAAGAAAAAAATTGAGGAAGGTACAAATAAGTGGAAGCATATACTATGTTCATGGATTGGAACAATTAGCATCATTAAAATATCCATACTACCCCAAAAAATATGTAGATTTAACACAATTTCTATTAAAATACCAATGGCATATTTCACAGATCTAGAACAAATACTCCAAAAATTTATATGGAACCAAAAGACCCCAAATAGCCACAATAATCTTGAGAAAAAATAAAGTTGGAGGGATCACAATACCTGGTACTAAACTATACTACAAGGCCACTGTAATGAAGACAGTCTGGTAGTGGCATAAGAACAGGCACATTGATCAATAGACCACAACAAAGAGCTCAAAAATAAACCCACACCTTTATGATCAATTAATACATGACAAAGGAGGCAAGATCACACAATGGAGTAAAGACAGTATCTTCAATAAATGATATTATGAAAAATGGACTAGCTATTGCAAAAAAAAAAATGAAGCTAGACCACCAGCTTACACCATACACCAGAATAAACTTGAAAGAACAAAAGATATATAAAACTTCAATAAAGGTCACAATACCATAAAAATCCTAGAAAAAAACATAGGGAGTAAAATTTCAGATACCTCATGTAGCAATATTTTTGCTGATACATTTCCTAGGGCAAGTGAAACAAAGGAAAATATAAACAAATGAGACTACATCAAACTAAAAAGCTTCTGCACAGCTAAAAAAAACCATCATCAAAATGAAAAGGAAACCCACTGAATGGGAGAACATATTTGCCAATGATACATCAGAGGTTTAATCTCCAAAATATATAAAGAACTCCACACCAGGAAGGTAAACAATCCAATTAAAAATGGGCAAAGAACCTGAATAGGTACTTCTCCAAAGAGAACATACAGATGGCCCATAGACATATGGAAAGATGCTCAACATCACTAGCCATCAGAGAGATGCAAATTAAGACCACGATGAGATACCACCTCACACCCACCAAAATGGCTATCATAAAAAAATCAGCATACAACAATAGCTGATGAGGATGTGGAGAAAAAAGAACCCTAGTGCACTGTTGGTGGAAATGCATACTGGTACAACCACTCTGTAAAATAGTATGGAGTTTCCATAGAAAAATTAAAAATGGAACTGCCTTTTGACCCAGCTATTCCAGTTCTGGAAATATATCCTAAGAATCCTGCTAGGCTGGTGTGGTTCAATGAATTGAATGCTGACCTGTGAACCAAAGGGTTGCTGGTTCAATTCCCAGTTAAGGCACATGTCTGAGTTGCAGGCCAGGTCTCCAGTAGGGGGAGTGTGAGAGACAACCACACACTGATGTTTCCCTCTCTTTCTCCCTCCCTCCCCCTAAAAATAAATAAATAAATATAAATAAATATATCTTAAAAAATATATTTAAAAAAATAATATAATGCACCCCTATGTTCATAGCAATGTTATTCACAATAGCCAAGATTTGGAAATAGCGTAAGTGTCTATGAGTAGATAAGTGGATAAAAAAGCTGTGGTACATTTACACAGCAGAATGCTACGCAGCAGTAAAAAAGAAGGAATTCTTATCTTTTGTGATTGCAGGGATGGTACTAGAGACTATTATGCTATGTGAAATAAGCCAGTCAGTTAAAGACAAATACTGTATGATTTCATTTACAAGTGGATTCTAGTGAGCAAAATTAACTAATGAGCAAAATAGAATAAGAAGCATAGAAACATAGACTGACAGCTATGAAGGGAGGGGTGAGGTGGGGACTGGTTTGAAGAAAATGACGGGATTAGTCAAAGAACATATATGCATGACCCATGGATATGGACAACAGTGTAGGGAGTGACTGTTGGAGAAGAGGGTGGGCTGGTGGAGGGGGTAAAGGGGAAAAATTGGGACAAATATAATAGCATAAACAACAAAATATTTAAAAGGGAAAAAGAAAGAAGAATCAGTAGATTGCTTTACATAATCTCTTAAATCACTGAAGTTAAAGCCAATAAACTCACTGTACCACAGAAAAGTTAAATGTAAGTCGATTAGGTATATAATGAACTTATTTAATGAACTCTGGTCATCATCAAAACTACTGCGAGGAAATTTTTTATTTGAACTATTTGGATTTTTTGCTAAACAGGATAAGGAACAGGACTCTGTTCTAGAGTCTAGTAATACAATTTCTTTTGTATGGATTACCCAAAATAACCACAGGTGTTCAGGAATTTCTTTCTCTGGGAATTTTAAAGAAAGGATTTCTATACCACCCCACCCCCAATGCAAATTGTGAGACTGATTGGGCATTAAAGGTACTTCTCACTACTTTTCATTATAAACCTAGTGATTGAATTGTGATGTTTGTGCCTGAAGAAATAATAACTATTGCCTGCCTCCAATAAGAATGAATACCTAAGATAATGACAAAGGCCCCCTTTCCCTCAGCTATTCAAGTCAATATGCCTTTAACGTGTGTGGAGGAGGGGGTGTGAGGAAGGGCAGGGGAAGGGTGGTGACACAGCCATTCTCATCTGCAGGGTGCTTTCAAACGAACACTCAATTTGTTGGAATTAGAGACACAAATTAGAGTGGGGGGTGTTTTTATTTTTGTGGTTTTCCACCCCCAACATCCACTTTTTCTGTTCCCAGGAAGACTTGCTCAGTCTCCTTAATTTTAAGTGTTTTAATCAAAATCATTCCTCTTTCTCCAACAAATCAATTTACTAGACACAAAGCTTTGGGAAAACTTAAAAAATAGCAAGCAAAACATAGCTGAAAGAGGACACTACCCAAAAAATGGTTTAGCAGAAGTCTCAAGGATTCATAACTACTGAACTCTGTATAATAAAGTTCTGGGAAATGGAGAGGAACAACAGAGATACTGAATGACCACAATTTGTGGGGGGCGAAAATCTCTCTTCTTCCTCTTCTTTGAAAATAATCCACAGGCCACCCAAGCAAAATTCTGGGACTGGCCCAGGGCACTTCAATCTTTAAAAGCAACTCTGCTTAGCCTTTTCATTACTTCATTTTGGAAAACAAAGCAAAAATAAAGCAAATAAGAACAAGTCATAGTAGGTGAAAGTTAAAGAAAAAAATGTTTATGTGCCATGGTATATGTTATAGTTTTAAAAAAAAACTCCCTAAAAATATAGTATGTCCTCTGAGGAATCAAATTCCAGCCTGAGAACAAAAATAGTTTATTTATTCATTCCACAAGTACTGTAATATCAAAGTTTTTTATGTACTCACCACTGCATAAAGCACTGGGAATTCAGAGGTAAACAGGTAGTCCAACTACTTGTCTTCAACAAATGAATAAACAAATTCTGTAACTTCAGCTATGATAAGTACTATGAAGGAAACTAGGATTTTAAATACTTATTATTTGTATTGTCATTTATTTTAAGGAACTGCACTGTTAATATCAAGCATTCTTTTGCCCCTTTAATTGGAATCATACCTAGTATCAGGTCCAGGGGTATCCAAAAAAGTTTTTGAAGACTGTGTTAGTTTCCTATGGCTTCTGTAACAAGTTACCACAAATTTAGCAGCTGAAAGCAACACACGTTTATTATCTCATGGTTTCTATAGATCAGAAGTCTGGGTGAGCTTGACTGCGTTCTCTGCATAGGTCTTGTTCCTTCCAGGGGCCTCTGGGTGTCATGAGCATATGTTCATGATAGTCTTTCCAATAAGAGCCCAGCCAGGCAACTGGTGGCTAGCTGCCTGCTAAGCAGCCTGGCACCAAGGACAGGACAAGAGTCACACATGGTAATATACTGTTCACTCAGCTTTTATTGAACGCAAGTTCAAACAAAGTAGAACATCAACATACATTAACATCCTACTCACACTCTAACAATCTAAGAGAAATATCACACACACACACACACACACACACACACACACACACACACACACACACACACACAGAGCAAGCAATGGGAGATAATGAACCCGAGTCCCAGAGTCTCAATCTGCAGGTCCAGGAAACAGCATGGTGGGCAAGGGAGTTGTCAGCATCTTGCAAGGAAGGATCTCCAGAGCCAGGTGGGCAGCAGGGCAGGCAAAGTCCTCAGTCCCACAGGGCAGAGCCTCTTGTGGCTGATGCCAAGGGAGATCAGTGTGGCATGGAGCAGCACTCTGGTGTGTGGAGCTCACTATCTCAGCAGTGGTCTGGTACCTGCCCCAGTTATACCTTGAAAGTGGAGTACTCCACCCTTCTGGGTCTTTTAATAAATCTTGGCACCCCTGATGACAAGTGGGGAATTTTCCCAGGAGCCTATCTATGGGTGGTCCCGCTCTGCAAACATGGCTATTCTGATCATATCTGCAGATATCTTAGGTGTGTTTTCCTGCCAGATGTCTCTGCTCTGACTTAAGTAGTTTCCCTCTTGAACCAAAGTGTCATGGCTGACTGGCAGCCATTTTGGTTAACATGAGTGACTCCACTTTGTTTTATATACTTTATGCTATCTTGATTGGACCAATGCCATTTTATTGGTCCTGCTCTCCACACTGGGGAAGCATCCACTTCCCAGCTCATTCAGGTTATTTGCCAAATTCAGTTTGTTGCATTTGTAGGACTGAGCTCCCCATTTCCTTGCTGGCTGTCCACATTCCTTCTCATTCTTTCCATGTGGCCATCCAGCAATGGAGGGATGAATCCTTCACTCCTTCTCATGCCTAGAACTCCTGATGTCTCCTTCCACTACATTTGTCTGACTTTTTGTTCTGTCCTCAGCCCTGAGAAAACTCTGTGGTTCAGGGCCCATGTGATTATACTGAGTCCACCTGGATAACCCAGGATCTCTCTGTCTTAAGTTCTGTAATTTTAATTATATTTGCAGTGTCCCCTTTGCCATGTAACATAACATATTCACAGGCTCTGAGGAATAGGACATAAACATTTGCTTACCAAAGATAAATTACAATGGCTTCTGGTTATTTACTCCTAAAGAATCTGTACCTAATGAGAATGGGCCTATTCTTCTACTTCTAGGACATTCACTTGGCCAGGAGATTATATGACATGGCTGCTGAAACAAGTCCTGACGCTCACATACCTGTATTCCTTGCCCTCATGAAACTGGAAACTGTGCATTTGCTCCAAGATATCTGGTTTTTTAATGTAAGTTTGTCTTGAACAGGTCTCAAATTTCTGAAAAAAAAGTCCAGTAAGCAATTCTTAGGTAGTGGGATGAAGGGAGATGATGGTTCTGAATAAAGTGGGAGGCTTGGATTTTTTTTTTAACAGAATATCTCTTCCCAGCAGTTTACAATGAGATGGAAATGGATACAATTGGACAATAACCTTGGATCATACTGGGATTTATTCGTGATTGGCCTAATTGTTGCTGCACTGATGTTCTTGCTTAGAAATCGGTACAGATAGGATCTGGATCCTAGGAAAACCTGCTCGTGGGAACTGGTTCATGCCATGTTATCTTCACTAAATAAAGAATTTCCTCGTCAAACTCAAGAGTCTGCTGCAGATTTCCTGTTGCGCGTGGGTCACCAGCCAGCAGTGACCACGGAACGCTGTGGATGGCTCGACGATAAACACGCGAGAAAAAACACCACATGCACAGAGACAGACTAGTTTCTGTGGGGAAGTAGGGACGAAATGGCCACCCCCCCCTAGTGGGGAGCACACTGATTTACCGTCCATACCTGCTTTTATTGGGCTCATGCTACATAATAATTCAGGTAAAGTACAGTACTCATTAGGGGAAGTAAGGAACTATAGAAAACAAAGAACTCTGCCGGTCTATTGAGTTGGGGGTCAAAGAGCTGTAAGACTGAGGAACAAAATAACTTCCTCCTAAGACCCTTCTCATTCAACTGAGAGCATTCTAAACAAAGAAGGTTTCACAGTAATTTACATGTTCTTTCTTAGGCCTGATCACCCCGGGAAATCCGCACTTCTCAGTACCGAGCTGTACTACCCTGTCATTGTTTCAGGCTTAGGTGGAGCAAGGGAACTAGGTAACCAAGAGATAAGGAGATTTTCTTCCAGACGCTGAGAACTCAGACTTTGTCAAAGCCGAGGAGTGAGGGTCCATCACCCCCTTTTGCTGCAGCCCCCCAAGTCCTTCTTTTGGGGGGGGCCTCCCAAAGTGATCGTGCCTGGCTTAGGTCGTTCCCCCCGTGGGGAATCTTACCCATCTTTGGCTAACCGACCAAGCTTTTGGGGGTTCAGTCATGAATAAAGCAGCAGAAGCAGCATTCCTGCCAGGGAGATAAGCTTTTGTCTCCTTGCTGGCTTACAGTTCCAAGGGCGTTCCCTTAGCCTTAGCTTGGGCGGGGGTTTCAGCCTCTGATACCAGTCAGGGTGGTTCCCAACAATTTCCTACACAGGCCTGGGATGAAAAATGGACAAAGCTTGGGACCTGTTCTCTGAGAAAATATTTCACTTCCTGCTTAGTTGAAGTGACCACTTGAGGGGTACTAGGGACTAGTCACCCAAGACTTCATTGAAAACTTGTCATCTTAGTGATTTAGTTCTGAATCAGGAATAAAGACTATCAATTTTTTTATGTTCTTATAGCAACCTTTCAAGAGGACAAATGGGTGCCTTGGCTCCTACAGACTACTGAGGCTGGGAGAAGGGCAAGTCCTGGGAGGGCAGGAACACAGATCCCTCAGCATCTGATACATACAAAAATTACACATAGACCCTTGATCTTGTGAGCTACATCATAAACCTAATGTGCAAAAGCTCCTTGTGGCATGCTGTGACTCAGGCTCCTCACCAAGGGCCTCCTATCAAAGCACCATTAGTAACTGTGTAGTAAACATCATCATTTGGGGTCTATCCAGCATTGCATGCCTCTCTTCCATCTTCCTTTGGAACCCTGTTCTATTTGGTGGCATCACCTTTGAAGAACACATAGAGAGAGAAGGTACCAGCCTCCTGGGATGGAAGCTAAATGCTCCAGTTCTCTCCATGACAGGCAAAGCAGGGTCCCAGAGCTGAGGGCAGGGTGGACACGGGGAGTGCAAAAGGCACATGATTCATGTCAAAAGTCAGGCTTGAATCTCAGCTCCATAATTCTTTAGCTATTTTACCTCTTTGAGCCTCAGTTTCCTGATCTGCAAAATGGGAAGAATAATACCTATCTTAAAGGGCTGGTATGAGATTAAATGAGATAAGATATGTAAAGGGACTATCACAGGGCATTTTGAATGAGCTCCATAAACTGTGACTTTCAATGCTCTTTAAAAGCTCAAGGCAAATTGGTTGGAATATGGTGTCAGATGATTTGATACCAATCTGGGTGGTTTTGGGGCCATGCAGTCAATTTTGCAGCCAAAATGCCAGTTGTTTTGGCAGGAAAAGATCCTGCTTGCCTATTTGAAAATCCAACCTAGAAACAAGAAAGGTGTCATTACTTATGCTGATCAAAATGAGGAAGGAGAACGAAATAGTGGGTTAGCCCTGGGTTTGGAACAAAGCAACATGGACCTAAGGTCTGGTTTTGTCCCTTAGGAGCTCTATGAATTCTGGGCATAATTTCTCCAAACCTCAGTTTTTTCCTCCATAAAATGGATGAATTTCTACTTCACTGGAGAATTGTAAAGCTTAAATAACCCTAACTACAAAAATTCTTTATAAACATTAAAAATGCATTTATTTGCTATGAACTAATCCTGGCCTGTCTGAGGTCCAGGTATTTAGGATTTCCTGAACACTACCCAAGTTACCAGTAAGTTTCAAAGGGCCTACACTAATTTACACAAATGTACAGGGAATGAGCAGGCACCCAAACCTCAGTCAGGGCCCAATTGCAGGCCAGCCATGCCATTACAAAATATTTCACAGGTGTCTGGAATGTGAGCGCGACATAGTCAAGGATAAGAGCAAAGAGGAGAGTGTGGAAGGCAGAGTGGGTGAGACCTGGCTCCAAGCCTGGATAATAAATAGGCTTCTTGCAGGTAAAACATTTGAAAACATCTGTGGGCAGGGGTGAAAGGGAGGACCTTTTTGTGGCTTGTTGCATAGGGCAGAATACTGCCTGAAACGTAGGAGCAAGAGCAGTGTGACTCACAGATTTTTTATTTCAGCTCATTGTTCCAAATAAATAGGAAAAAAGGCTTTGAAAATACAGTGGTTTACAGCATTTGAATCATTCAGATGTCCATTCTGGGCCTCTTCTCTGGAGCCACTGATGTGATAGCTCCCATTACCACAGAGCCTGAATGGGTACGTCATGAACCTGGGCAGCTTCATGATGACTGACAGAGGGAGAAAGAGCCTCCACCTGTAACCACTCCCACATCCTGGTTTTGCTAGTCCCACCCCCTATTCTCTTTCCTGCTTCTGTTAGATTCAAATAAAAAACAGGTAGCCTGTGAACTACAAGGAAGCTTCTCAAAAAAAACAAACAAAAAAAACTAATTATCTTTGTAACTACTTATTTCCTCTATATTTCCTTCCCTCATTCTTTTTTTAATATATATTTTATTGATTATGCTATTACAGTTGTCCCATTTCTCCCCTTCACTCCCCTCCACCCTGTATACCCTCTCCCATAGACTTCTCCCCCTTTAGTTCATGTCCATGTGTCATACTTATAAGTTCTTTAGCTTCTACATTTCTCATACTATTCTTACCCTCCCCCTGTCTATTTTCTGCCTATCATCTATATCTACTTATTCTCTGTACCTTTTCCCCCTTTCTCCTCCTCCCACTCCCGTTGCTAACCCTCCATGTGATCTCCCTTTCTGTGGTTTTGTTCCTGTTCTAGTTGTTTGCCTAGTTTCTTTTGGTTCGGCTTTAAGTGTGGTTGTTAATAATTGTGAGTTTGCTGTCCTTTTACTATACATGTTTTTTTTTTATCTTCTTTTCTTAGATAAGTCCCTTTAACATTTCATAAAATAAGAGCTTGGTGATGATGAACTCCTTGAACTTGACCTTATCTGAGAGGCACTTTATCTGCCCTTCCATTCTAAATGAAAGCTTTGCTGGATAGAGTAATCTGGGATATAGGTCCTTCTCTTTCATAACTTGGAATACTTCTTCCCAGCCCCTTCTTGCCTATAAGATCTCTTTTGAGAAATCAGCTGACAGTCTGATGGGAACTCCTTTGTAGGTGACTGTCCCCTTACCTCTTGCTGCTTCTAGGATTCTCTCCTTCATTTTTACCTTGGCTAATGTAATTATGATGTGCCTTGGTGTGTTTCTTCTTGGGTCCAACTTCTCTGGGACTCTCTAAGCTTCCTGGACTTCCTGGAAGTCTATTCCCTTTGCCAGAATGGGGAAGCTCTCCTTTATTATTTGTTCAAATACATTTTCAATCTGTTGCTCTACCTCTTCCCCTTCTGGTACCCCTATAATTCGGATGTTGGAACGTTTAAAGATGTCCTGGAGGTTCCTAAGCTTCTTCTCGTTTTTTTGAATTCTTATTTCTGCATTCTTTCCTTTTTGGTTGTTTCTTTCTTCCTTCTGGTCCACTCTGTTGTTTTGAGTCCCACTTTCCTTCCCATCACTATTGGTTCCCTGTGCATTTTTCTTCATTTCTTTTATGGTAACCTGCATTTGTTCATCTAATTTGCACCCAAAATCAACCAATTCTGTGAGCTTCCTGATCACCAGTGTTTTGAACTGTGCATCTGATAGGTTAGCTATCTCTTGGTCGTTCAAAAGGATGAGTTCTGGGGCCCTGATTTGTTCTTCTGTTTGAGCCATCTCTCTCTCTCTCTCCTTTTTTTTTTTTTTTCTTTTTGGTCTGGTCACTGCTGTTATGGTGAGGGGCAGAGCCTTACGTGTTCACCAGGGCTGGGCACCCCAGTCGCTAGAGTGTGACATTGTATGTGAGCGTGGAGTGGAGAGGGAACAATGGCGGTAGCTCCATTCTTGTGAGACCTGTCCTTTCCCTGGGATCCTGGGTTGTGCACTCTGCTCTGGTCCACAATCACCGCCTCACTGGGTCTACCAGCTGCTGCTTTTGTACCCAGGGTCCACCTGCTGTGATCTTGCACGCCCCAGATGCCTTACATGCTCCCAGTTGCCTTATGCACCCAATTCTCCCTGTTCTCCTCGCCGTGACCCGCACCTTGCTGCTGGTCTTCGCCCCTCCTACCGGTGTGGGTGAACAGGGCTACTTCAACTTCTTGGCTGTCCGACTTCCATTCAGATAAATTCTCTATCAGTTCTGGGTGTTATTCTGCCTCTAAATTGTTGTTGTTCCAATCTTGGTTGTGGGTGGAGGTACGGTGCGTCCACCTATGCCTCCATCTTGGCCAGAAGTCCCCTCATTCTTTATTAAAAGTAGAGAAGCTATTCAAGTACAGTATTAGAAAGTCAAGTAAATAATCTTTTTTTTTCTAGAACAAGAATCCATGGTCATTTTATGAGGACACACTTTTGGAATTCTGTGCTTTTACCCTGTG